TATATTGTTGGACTTTGAAGTGTGTTGAACTTTGGACTCTACCAGGATGTTCAGCCTAGTCCCATGTTTCATTCCTGCAGGAGAGAGGGGGTGGGTGGAGATTTGTCACTGGGGGTATTGACTTCTCTAGGGCTTGGCTCTTCCTAGCCAGTGCAGTCTCCCATTCCCAGGAGTCTGGGGACCTGCACACGGAAGGGATCAGTGCTTTTTTGCTGAGTACTGAATGCTGTCTTGTTGCAGGGCTGACTTAGGGTGATTTGCTGAACAAATTCCCCAAGCCTCAACTTGCAACATCTGAATTTGGAGGATGGTTGCAGAAGGCTGCAGAATGAGCCGAGAATGTAACTAGTGACTTAGCCTCCTTGTTTCTCTGAGCTGCAGGATCGGTGCACTGGTAGGGGAACAGAACTTAGGGGAGGAGACCTGCAGGGGTATGGATCAGAATTTTTTTTTATGGCAAATACCTGACTGCGTGAATAATAATTGCATGTGAGTGAGCAGTGGTTGAGCTCACTCATTCTAGAACAATGTTTTCTGTACTGTTCTGGCTGTGACCTACATTAAGAAATAAAATTTACACTATGACCCTGAACATACAGCATGTATGTTACAGTCTAATTTCAGTTCATGCAGGACTACCTCCCTTTGCGTGGTCGCATCTTCTTTAACATTTTTGGAGGGGTCTGTCTTATTGTTTTTCATTAGAAGAGCAATTGGTAGCTGGGCATGGTAATACATGCTTGGGAGGGAGGTTGAGACAGGAGGATTGAAAGTTCAAGGCCATCCTGAGCAACTTAGGGAGACCCTGTCTAAAAATCAAAACAGCTGTTGTTCCTAAGTTCATGGAGTTATACTCTGATGAAATAGTGGGTCACAATGCATGAACCATTTGAAAAGCGCAGAATGTTCACATTCAGTAAACATTTATTAAATTGTGCGTGTGTGAACATACACTTCACAGTACTGAAGGTAGAAAGATACAAATGAGAGATAGAAACTGTTCAGTCTTTTTGGAGGTTTAAGGTGCGGCTTGGATTAAGGAGCAGGGCGAGATGATTAAATGCCAGCAATGCAAAACAAATGCCTGCAGTGTATGAAAACGGGGTGGTAGCCAGGGATTTAGTTCAGTAGCATAAGCGCCTGCCTGGCAAGTACAAGGTTGTGAGTTCAATCCCTGGTACCAAAAAAAAAAAAAAAAAAAGGAAAAAGGGATCATGATATGTGCAGTGTAGATAGACAAAACTCTTGGGATGAAGGAAGTCAGGGGTGAACAGTTTGGGTGTCTCAAATGTCGCATGGGAGAAACTCGTGTGCAAGTTAGAGGAGTTAGGAGTGACATAGCATGTGCGTGTGGGTGTGAAGAACATGGGACTCTTGTGATAGAGCAGGGGCAAATTATATTGGAGAGGTAGGAAGTATATAGGTCTGTATTAAGGAGGGATTTGTAGAAATTTTCAAGCCTATATGCTGTTACAGTTTGGATAGCATAAAGGCTTTTAAACATAGTCCAGAAAACCTGTGGGCTTTTTGAAAACAGTCAGATCTGACCGTCATTTCCTACAGAGGGGTGGTCATTGCCTATGGAAAGGGTCAGGCCTGCTGCTCCCAAGCATCATGATTCCAGCATCCTCTCTTGCCTGCCTGGGTCCAATTGCTTGGCATTTCTTGCTGTGTCCCATCGGCATTTGGCTTTGTGACCTCAGTTTTCAAGTCTTGGATGCCATGCTGGAGAATGTGTGCTGCTGTCACAGGCCATGGGTGCCCCATTCCCTGCCCCAAGGATTCTGGCAGGAGCCAGAGACTGTGGAATCCGAGGATTCCAGAGCCATGCTTTGCTTTAGGCCAGTGAGCAGCTCTTGCTGGGGAGCTGATGGCTGGGCCTTGGAAATATTTTCATCATGAACAGCATGGGATTTAATAGAGAGGGCTTTGCCTTGTCATCTAGAAAGTGAGGCAGACTTCTAGTGATCTGAAGTTCTCTCCTGCCTCTACTTCTGGCTGGCGTGAATAGATCGTGGCTCCTGGCATGTCCCTCTGAAAGGGATGCTGGGGTTATGAGTTGGTGAGTTGTGAGTCACAGCTGTCACTTGCCTTGCGACATTAGATTCTGAGATGCTTTGGTTCTGTGGGCCCATAAAAGAAGACCAAGGAGAAGCAGGAGCCCCAGCGGGGAAGGGTGCATAGTCTGGAGAGGTTCATAGTGGCTGCAGAGTAGCTGGCTCAAGCCCAGGTATTAATGCATATGGCTACAGAAGAGTAGTTGTGTTTGGGGCAGCTGGTGTGGGAAATCTTTATGGCTGAGGACACTCTGGCTTTTCCCTGAGTCCTAACTACCCACCATTCAGAGCTCCTCCCAGGTGAGCTGCAGGTGACAGGGGCTGACCAATCGTTTCCCTGCTTTTTACAGGTAGGACAAAATTTACCTAAAAGTCTTGCTTTTTTTTTTTTTAAACACACAGATACAAGTTAGGAATTTTCTTAAAAGCATATGGCCATAGGATGCAAGGGTACCTAGAAGTCAGCTGAATTACATCAAGTTGAATCTATTTCCTGTTTTATGTGATGTTTTGCTTACTAAACTAGAAGGGAATGATGCAGCAGCTTTAGTAAAGTAGTTCACAGTTTCTTAAGATACGCTTGTCTGTATTAAATCATAAGTAGTATGATTTAATAGTAGTGGCTAGGTGGTGGTATTGATTTAATTTAGGGATCCTATGCAAACGCTGTTAGTTACTGGTGCAGAGTCAGCCTGGGAGGAGGTCAGAAAGTGAGCACCACAGGGCTCTGATTTTGGCTTGGGTTGGGTTGAGTATAAGGAAGATGTGTTTGTCTGATTTGGAGGCCCAGAGCTGGGAAGGACTGCTTAGTCTGTAGATAAATCAGAGTCATCTAGAATGAAGACCTCAAATTAAAAAGAAAAAGAGCTGGTGTGGCGGTGCACGTGTGTGATTCCAGCTAACTGGGAGACTGAGGCAGGAGGATTGCAAGTTCAGGCCCTGCTTGGGTAACTGTGAGCATCTTTCTCTAAATAAATAAACAAATGGGGCTAACTAGGGTTGTAGCTCACAGCCCCTTCCCTCATTTCTGTAAAGAATAAATATAAAGCGTGGTTCAGTTTTACAGATTTGAGCCGAAATCTCAAGATGGCCAAATAGTCTAATCAGATAATTATTCTTCTCGGGATGTAGCTGAGACAAAACATGAAATATAGATATTTTTATGCACCCATCATTCAGATTTTTTAAAAACTCTAGTAAAAAATTGGTAGCAACCTATATTTCCACCGGTGTGGGCTGGAGATAGTGGATAGGTCAATTCCAGTGGATGTGTCTTTAAAATGGAGGTTTGTGAAGTTATGCAAAATAATATTTAGGAGCAAATTAAAAGATAATCAGGGACTATGTTTCTGGTAAAAGTTACAGTGTGCCTACCATCTAATTCCAAAGGTTTAAAAAACATGCCTAGAAAATAACTGGAAGGATACCAAACCTCCGTTGTTTCTAGATGGGTTGAGCTAAGTGACTTTCTCTTTTTCATGCTTTTAAATTTATTATTTGCCAGTAGAGGAAAAAAACGCTCCTTTAAACAGGTCTTGTTGTTTGAGGACAGGACGGAGTAGATGATTCGTGTGGAGATTATTGTTGAGTACCTACCTGCCCCATGTCAAGTGTTGGCTTAGATACCACTCTCACAAAATAACACCCAGCACCTGACTCTGGCACAGGCCACTGTGGAAGGCCAGGCTGTCTGGTGGAAAGTCTTGTGTTTTTTTTTTCTCTGTCATTTATGAGTTCAGCGTGGAGTCCTCAGTGGGTTGAGGCTTTCCAAATACAAAGCCAGTGGAGAATCCCAGGATCCAGTCTTAATGACCTTGGTGACCTTTGGACTCCTGGGGTGATTTTAAAGGAACCTGAGCATCAGGACTTGATCCACAAAGGGAGAATAGGGTGATGGAGACTCAGGAGTGACCTGTATGGGCTTGTGGAGGGGATCTGCAGTAGTGCCTATAAAAGGCTTTCATGGTTGTCAGGGGTAGGCAAGACCACTAGTGTTCATTTTTTTTGTTTTTGGTACCGGGAATTGAACTCATGACCTTGTACTTGCCAGGTAAGTGCTTGAGCAGCTGAGCCAAATCCCTGGTCCTAGGTTTGGCGCCATAGGTAAATTCCCAGGGGTGGGGAAGATGACATCACGGTAAATTCCTAGGGGTGGGGGAGATAGGAGCTTCCTGGTCCCTATTGAGGCTTTTCTTGCTAGAGTCCTGTCTGGGCCAAAACCCTTTCAAATTTAGTTTGACATAATCTCTTTCAATGGTTGGCAGCGGTCATTTAGGGCTCTTGTCATTCCATACAGCGAGGCACCTTGGGAGAGCGCCCCACCCCATCGCTCCCCAGTGCTGTTCAGTTCAGGGCTCTGGCCAGCCACCTCAGCAAGCTTTTGTGCAGTTAGGAGCCATGCAGCGGTGTTCCCGTGGCACAGCTACTTACACATCTTTTCTGAGCCTCACTAGCTTATTCTCCGTGTGTTTTGTTTCTGTAGGCAGGGGCTGAACAAGCGTTGTGTGTTTTCACTTCAGTTACATTTATTGGTACATTTGGGACATACCTAATGATCATCATAGAGGATTTGTACCTCTACATGGTACTGTTTACTTTCCCATTCCCCTACCCTCCCTTCAACATTCCTCCCCTTATCCATTTACAAACTTTCCTTTCCACGTTTTCTTTCTGTTTTGCGTTAATCAGATTTACAGTCTTTTCCCTTTTTGCTTCTTGATTTTTGAGACATAATCAGGAAAGACCTGTTGAGTACATAGAAAAAAATCACCCAACGCTTTATTGATACAGTCGTTTGTTTCTGCCATCAGTTGCTGATGCTTTTAATCCACACTGTGAATAAGGAGGGGAGGCTCCATCACCTACAATGCCAGCCACCTGCGACACGGGCCTGGCTCTGAGGTGACCCGCCGCGCCAGGGGTCTGCACCCTGAACTTTGACGCATGGCCCCGCCCCACCCGGGCGAAGGTGCCAGCCAGGCCAGCAGCCACGTAGCAGCACTTGCAAGGCCTGGGGCCCAGGTCCAGCGGTGAAGGCGCCTTTGCTTGGTGCCCTAGCGCGGCTACTGGCCAGCCTTGTTCTGTGGCCACGGGACCCCCCCCCCCGACCGCCCTCATTGGGCGCTCCGCCCGCCCGCAGGCCTCCTTCATTGGACGCTCCCGCCCCGCCCCCGCGCGGTGTCCAGCTTTCGCCCCGCCCCCTCAGTGAAGCCCTGCCCCTTTGTGGTCGTCCTGGAGACCCTCTGTTACCTATGTTTATGGTTCATAGAGCAGCAGGAAGCCGAAGGTGAAGCTGTGCAGTTCCGCCCTCTGCTGCCACTGCCACTGGGAAAGACTTCTTTGCCACTGCCGGGTCCGGCCCGGTCGGGCCAGGTCCTGCCGGGTCCTGCCCGGTCCGGCCGGGTCCGCAGCGAGCGGTCCTTCGCTATGGACACGGTATCAATCAGCCACTGTAGCCGGGGTCTTCGTGTCCCCGGGCACCCCTGAGCTGCTGAAGCACCTGTTGAAGCTGTACTCCGCCTTTGTAGCCCTGCTACTGAAGGTGAGGCGGGGGAACCAGGGTTGGGCAAGGGCGCTGGTCGCCCGCTGGTGGGATGGTCCCTTCGGAAGGTACCGGATGGCAGGAGCGTGGTGTGGACTGCAGAGGCCCGGGCTGTCCTGAGGGAGCCGCATGGTCTGAAGCCAGCCATCGCCTTGGGAGCCACGTTCACGCCCCACCTGTTTCCTTGCAAGGATTGTTTCCTGAGCGTGCACCGAATTGAGACGCAGCCTCCTGGAGGAGTGATGCCTGATTTGTGGCGATCATTGTCATAGTGCTTTTGCTTGCAGACACACAAACCGATGGCTTCTATCAAGTATTTACAATGTGGGTGTGTGTGTGTGTGTGTGTGTGTGTGTGTGTGTGTGTGTGTGTGAGTGTGTGTGTGCAGTAATAGAAAACAGCTCACCTAAGCGTGATCTGGGCCATGCGTGAGACACTGAGATGAAGAAGGGCTGTTGGCCAACTGGGAAATTGGCTCAGCTCACTCCCTAAGTTTAGAGACTCCACATACGGGACAAGAACGTGAGCGTGACTGTATCCCCTTTCTGGAAGTTTCTACAGGGCACCTGGAAGTTGGTTTAGACCATGGAGAGTAGATCGAGAGTATCTGTGATGATCCTTTGTGATTGCTCCGCCAGTTCTGTTAACGGGTTTCCGTTATTTGTGCCCTTCCTTTTCAGCTGGTTGCAGTGTTACCTGAGAATCTCCAGCCCGGGCCTGGAGACTTTTATGGGCTCCCCTGAGAGCCTGTATTGCTCACTACCTGTGTTGGAATCCTTATGCTTGCGATTTTCTTGTGGAGCAATGTTTTTCCAGTGAGGGAATTAACTTGTTCTTTGACCTCTGAATATATTTAGGATTCTATTATCATTGTCCTTTTCAGTTATTAACATAAACAAATCAGTGGTTCTAATTCAAGTTAGTTTTCTGAAATAATGTAATCTTGGTACTGGCAAAGACTTAAGAGCAAGCTAACCATATCCACTTGTTAGTAGAGTTGGTGACTCGTACAGCCATCCTGAAAAGCAGTTTAATAATTCTATATATCATAAGCCTTTAAAATGGGATACAAAACAGGATAAGAAATATAAATTGCTTTTATATGGTATAATAACATCAGTAAGTGATCTTAAAGAAATAAATTACATGTTAAGATTTTATACAAAGGTATTAGATGTAGTATTTAATAGAGTAATAACTTGGTGAAACCTAAATGATCTATATTAGGGAATATCATGTTTCACCTTATTTATATCCACAGAACAGAGTATTAGGCTGCTGTATGTATTTCAAAGGCAGGGGGCAAAGAAGGTGTTCACGATTTAATGTGAAGTGGGAAAAGGGGAAACAGACCGTGAGGTACTGATGAACTGTGCTGTCGAAACATACAGGGCAAGAAATACAGTAAGATGGTAGAAACGTCCAGGCAAGATCAGGCAGAGTGGTGTGTGCATTCCTGCAGCCCTGGAGGAGAGGGAGGCTGAGACAGGAGAAGTGCAAGTTTGAGCCCAGCCTGGGCAACTTGGTCACTTAGCAAGAGCCTGTCTCAAGAAAAATGGGAAGGCTGAGAATGTAGTTCATTGTGAAGGCCCTGTCCCAGGTACCACCAAAAACAAGCCCAAAACAGCACCCTATGAAAGATTCCCGAGAGGACTTCTGGAATCTCACTGAACAGCTTCTTGGATGAAAGCAGGCCTGGAAGGGTACGCAGAGTGTTTGGGGGTGAAAAGGTGCTGTTTCCCCTGCTCCTCTCCTTTGGTTCCCCTGCAGCTGCTACCCAGCAGGGCTCTCAGGCTCACCTGCAGCTTCACACCCTGCCCCTGGGCTCACTTCCTCCCACTCCCTGAGGTCACATGGCTCTGAGGGGACACTCCTGATCCTGGAGAGCACAGTCGCCCTCCCCCCACGCCCCTCAGCTGGCCATTGCGCTCTGCTGTCCTATACTGTTTATAGCACTCGGAAGGAGAAGACAGAGTCTGCATTACAGAGAAGTGCAGTGATCGCTGCTGTGGTATTTAATTAGTTGCAGTTTAGGATTTATGACCCCAGAAGGCACTGGGAGGAAGAACTGGGTCTGTGCTCTTCCTGGAAGCCGTTAGCTGTCATTTCTCTGTGTTCTTCTGGTGTCTTCCCTTCTGCTTAGATTTATTACTGTTTTTGTGGTCTGGGGAAATCAGATGATGAGGTGTATTAGATTATTTCTCAATTGAGTCAATAGATCACTTGAAATAGGGTTTCTGAGGTATCTTCCAGTGGGTGAGAGAGGCGTATCTTAGTGCAAAGGTTATGCTGGTAATCTCGCTCGCCAGTCTTCCATATGGTCACCCATTTCTAGACTGCATGCTTGCCTTTGGGATTGTCAAGTAATTTGGAGTAAGTAAATCAATAATGTGTGTATTATAAAAACAAGCATTTCACTGTTGAAGCCAAATGCTCATCTCAGAAGCCTGGTGTTCACTTGGTCCTGGCACACAAGCAGGTGTGTAGCTGTGAAGTAAGACACGCTCCTTACTCTTCCTCTGTATCAGAGGCTATTTATAATGCGTTTTTAATTGTATGGGTTTATTCTGAACTAAAGTTACTAAATTTTCACTTGGTTATGATCCTGACTTGTGTTAGGAACTATGCATTCCTTTTAATCAAATGTTTGACATCAAATTTCTCTCTTTTTCTTCTAGATAAAGGAGAGAATATACCAAGGTAAATCTCTTCCTGTTGGTGTTTGGGAGGACTTTTAGGCAGGCTAGGAGCGACAGTGACTTTGGTGTCTGATTTGACTCACTAACTGCTCCACATTTTACTGTTGCTACTAACCATGGTATAGTGGGGAGGGTGATGGTACCGGCTGAGCTAGGAGATGTGGTGCAGGGGTGACTGCTTACTTGGAGCAGACAGAGCGTGGCTGGGCCACACAGGTGTGGAGAGAGGACAGTGTGTCTGTGCTAGGGACACCTCGGCCCCTATAGGTTTATCGGCACAGGAGCTCGAGACAGCAGTGTAGATCTGTAGCCTAAAGTTTCTTTTTCTCGTAGCAAATGACATTCATTTGAAGTGATCCGTTTTCAGAGAACAAGTGCCTTTTGTCAAAGGAGCCTCTCCAACTGTGTAACATTTTACTGTATCTCCTGCCTTTGCAGTAATTGGTATCTCCTCAAAACAAGTATTACTATAGTTTTCTTAAAGTTTAACAGTGTCCTGTGCACTGTTGCTGTTAGCTTCGGGTCTCTCTGGACAGGCAGGTAGCTGTGCTAAGCCCTGTCTCTCACAGAGCCTCACAGGTGTCCTTGCTGCTGAGACACTGTGCAGCTCAGTTCCATTTAATGCTCCTAATAACCTGGCTATTTCCTCTTTTTAGTCACTGAACAGCAGATTGCCGAAAAGGTGAAGACTACCACAAAGGACAATGCACAACTTGCAGAAAAATTGTCAAGTTATGAACAGAAGGTAGAACCTCTCACGGGCCCTCCTCTAGCGCGTCTGTGGTGTAGCTCAGTTATTACGGTATTTTGAAGGCCTGTGTTCTCGCTTCATCATTTCCTCTGAGCCCTCCAGATCTTATGCACCATCATGTGTAAAAGGAACGCTCTGCTTGCTTCTTTGGAACAAGGTTTTACTAGCACAGTGACTTCTGTTACTTAGTTCTGAATGTGTTTTTTACATAGATCAATGAATCGCAGAGGCTTCTTCAGGAGACCAAGAATCAAAATAGGATTCTCTCTGAGGAAGCAATTAAATACAAGGTAAAAGTCCTTCTCTTTTGGGGATTATAGTCTAAAAACAAAAGCAAGCATTAATGCATACTGTTACTTTTAATCTCTTTTCTTCTGGATAAAATCAAGGTGCTTGAAGAAAGCAAGGAATTTCTGGATGATACGGCCAGAACTCTTGGTGATATGTTAGAATGTGAGCGGAAACGCAACATGAAAAATCAGGATTTGGTGAGTTCTGCTGCTGCGTGTTACTACAGGTGTATTATTAGGTATTTCGTAAATCAGTTGAGCTGTTCCCATGCTGTTAACTCCATGAGACTAGGAATAACAGAACTGAACATGCCTGTACCCACTTTGGGGGACTTTTAGTACTAATTCAGTAGAATGTTTTTATAGGCACGGGAAGTGTTTTGATCCTGAATCTTGGATAATTTCATAGTTGTGTCCTCCAGAACACACAGTCACTCAAAAATTGGTCCAGTTGAGTAGTCTGTGTAAACTGGCTTTATTTCACAGTGAACTCTGTGCCTTTCGAATAGTCTGCAAATCCCCTAAGCGGAAATGTAGTGAGGAGAGTTCTCATGCTTCCCACCTCCTGTGTGGCCTGGTCCTTTGCTCAGCACACACCTGGTGAATTGCCCATTTTCAGTCCTTTGTGCACCATGCTGTTTGGCAGGAAGTTATGACATACAACCTGCAGTTAAAAGAACGGTGGGTTAGGGTCACCCCTTGAGCCAGTATTGTCATAAATATTGAGAAATTTGGCACATGAGATTTTTCTATTCCCCCAGAAACACTTTTTTTTTTCTATTGTTTTATTTTGGTTTTGTCTTTTTGAGACTGGGTTCTCTTATGCAGTTCAGGCTGACTGTGAACTCACCTTGTAGCCTAGGCTGGCCTTAAACTCTCCTGCCTCAGCTTCCTGAGTGCTGGGATTACAGGCGTCCTCCACCATACCCAGCATTCTTACCATTTTTAATTCAGACAAGAACATGTTTGATGACAAGAACAAGTGATCTTGGAGCTTTTTTTTTTTTTTTTTTTTTTTTTGGTGCCAGGGATCGAACTCATGTTTCAGTGCTTGGCGGGCAGGCATTTAATGCTGCTGAGCTAAATCTCCAGACCTTTTGGGGCTTGTTTTCCTGACACCAGAAAAAGCTGTTCATTTTCCATGGTGTGCTTGGACATTTCTTTATACTCTATGTAGTAACATAACCCCAAAGCTTGAGGGTGCCATGAAACTCTTGACTTCAGTTTTTTCTCTCAGCTCTTTAAGCAGATTTTTCCCCAGACCACGTTTAATCCCAATTTTACCTAAAACATAGTGGATAGTTTGGGGTACCTTGTAGTAATGTTTTTGTTCTTTAGCATATGTATCAGTGTTTCTCCCACAGTCCTAATGCATTCTGTGTGTTCCTTGCTTCCGTGGCAGGTCCTGGGAAATGAGAAATCTGTGGAGAAGCTAAAGGAGGTTATTTCAATGAATGCCTCAGAATTTTCCAAGGTAAGGCTGCCCACACTCCCTGCCGGTGTCAGTGTCGAGACTCAGCTGCATGGAGCAGTGGTGACCTGATGAGTGCTGAGAGCCATGGAAGGCAGAGGCGGTGCATGATTGAGGGGCAGGGCTGGCGGCCCCTCCCTGGCATGGCTCGTGAACAGTCGTGTTGTGCGTTAGGTTCAGGTCGCCCTGAATGAAGGCAAGTTGAGTGAGGAGAAGGTGAAGTCTGAGTGCCACCAGGTTCAGGAAGAAAACACAAGGCTGAAGAAGAAGAAGAAAGTGCAGATTTTGTAAATGTTTGGTCAGAGTGGGTGCAAAACCCAGCGACTTTAGCTCTGTCATCTTTTCTCATGAGGAGCTGCTTATGCAGGCCCCTGCAGCAAGCTGGGGAGCATCGAGTCTGTCCTCCCCAGCTTGCACATTACTGAGGGCACAGGCTCTTTTTGTGTTTTTCGTGGATTTTCAATTCTGTAAATTGATGGCAGTTCTTGGCCCTTGTCTTGTTAGATACTAGTCATTACTTTGGCCTCAGCAAGGCCAGGGGTTGGCTTTTTAAACCTCAGATTTAAGGCTTTGCTAAGCCTCCTCTAACAGTTACTGCCTCACATTGGCCATAGGAAGGTTAGATCAGGGATCTGTGATCAACACACACACACTGAGGCCAGAAATCCCACAGCTAGCTGCCAGCAGTTCCCATGTGAATGGGTTATGTTCCTGCTAGGGGGATACACAGGATAGTCCCATTAGGTGGTAAGGACAGTCCTGCATGCCCTGCAGCGGTTCATGCCAGTGGGAATATGTTAAGCCCCAGCAATACATGCCCACGGGTGCCACCTGGAAGTCAGGCATTTGAGTCAGCAGGCATTTTTCAAAAGGACTTGATGGATGGGGTCAGCTTCGTTGACAGCTCAGGGTGGAAGTCACACTCTGCAGTCCCGAACCAAGTCTTAGCCTCTGCGATGGGACAAGGAGGGACAGGACTCCTGCTTCCCCATCCCACTTGCATGGTCCTGTGCCTCTGTGGAATCCCCAGTCCGCAGGGACCCTTCCATATGACTTTCAGCTACAGCAGGAAGTTGAAGACCAGAAGAAGCTGAACGCTAAACTCAGCCAGCGAATCAGGTCCTTGGAAAAGTCTCAGAGGGATCTGGAAGCCACTCTCCATGATAAGGATGATAGCATTGGTGTAAGTTACCCCAGCTGGCCCAGCCTGATCATGAACACTTGGAAAACAACCCACTGTGAAGATGGAGAGGCTGTTAACTGCTGCTCCCTTCTCTGCTAGGCTCTGAACAACTGCATCATGCAGCTGAACCGGTTGGAGGAGAGGGGATCGGAATCTGAGGGTCGAGGTCCAGGCAGATGTGAGCCAGGTGAATTAGCCAAAGGAGAAGTGGGAGGTAAGACCGGCCCTAGCCCAAGGGCCCCTTTTTTTTTTTAACCAGGGATCTAACTCATGACCATGCACTCACCAGGCAGGTGCTTGTGCCACTGAGCTAAATCCCCGGCCCTTCAAGGGCCCTTTTTTGTCTTCTTCTCTTTATTGTTATTTTAGACAAGGTCTCTATGTAGTGGCTGGCCTTGATCTCACTGTGTAGCCCACACTGCCCTCAAACCCACAGCAAAATTTCTACCTCAGTCTCCTAAGCATTTTTGTCTTTAATTCCATACATGGATACTGCTTCTTAGCTGAGTTTCTTCTTGCCCCGACTGACCCATGCAGCTCTTTAGGTTCTTAGTGTGAAGGACCACAAGAGGATGAGAAAATAGACAGACCAATCTGGGGTCAGGTGGAGCCCTTACCCTCCTCATGGGAAGAAAGGAACTGGCCCCTCACTGCAGGGGCGTTTATAAGTTTTAGCAACTTAATGTCATGTGACACACTGTTGTCCTAGCAGCCCACTGTTCAGATTGTCTTGGGGCTTGGTGATCTCTGGGCTTAGGCAGCTTCTTCACATGGCAACCCCAGGGACTCTTTGTTCTTGGGCCAGCCATGCCCTGGCCCTGCATGTGTGGTCGGTTTCCAGTTTCAATGGCTCCCAACATCTGAATAATTCGTACTTATGTCTGGGTCACTGGGATGCCAGTAGCAGCAGGCAAGCGGGGAAAGCTGCTTTTCCACCCCTGAGAACTGGATGTGTACGCTGGAGCCTTTGTCTTTGTGTCGGCCTCTGTGCCAGAGAAGACACTCACTCAGCTTTCTGGAGATGACACACGGGTCCGTACTCACGGCCTCTGCTGTTCTGTGGTTCTCAGGCACTTGGCCAGGGTCACCTAGAGTGTGGGGATGGGGAGCCACAGCCCAGGCTCTGAGGGCAGAGGCTGGAGAGCAGCAGGGTCTGAGATGAGGAAAGTGGTCAGGGTGCCGCCCCAGCTGCAGAGGGTGCTCAGGGTGCGAGTCTGGCCCCACGCCGGCCAGCTCCCCCTAGACCATGTGGCATGCTGTCTTGGCAGGAGCTCACAAAATCTAAGGGTGCAGTTGTCATGAAAGTCAGTGTGTCAGTTCTTTTGGTGAATTGTTTTTCTTTACAGTGTGTCATGAGCATTAGTTTAGTTTTGTGGAAGTCAAGACAACAGTGTTAGAAACGGCACAGGAAGACACAGCCACACTTGTTCTCTTTGTAGGTGGGGAATATAAGAAGGCTCACATGCACCAGCTGATGGATGTCTCCCAGGTGAGTCCCTTCACAGAGCCCCCCCAGGGCCCTTGAGTCCTGACTCAGCCTTACCTTCAAGCCTGTGCCTCTCCCTCAAAATTTTCAGACACATCCCACAATATCCGTATTTCAGAAAGATCTCCAACTCCTGGAGTTGAAGCTGAGAGCCTCCCTGTCTGCCAAATGTGATCTGGAAGGTAGGTCCCTGACCACATGGTGGTCAGGCTGAGCGCCGGCATGAATGAGGCAGGGATGCTGGGAGCCTGGTTCTGTGTCTTTGGCGGTGCCCTTGGTGGCGTGTCTCACCTCCCAGACCAGATCGTGAAGGTAGGTGAGGACTGCGGCAGGCTGCAGGCAGACAAGGCCCAGATGGAGGAGGAATTTAGCATGCTGCAGCAGAAGGTGGAGGTCCTGAAGGAGCTGTCCCACCAGAAGGAGCTGGAGCTGCAGAAGTGAGTCCCAGAGATTTTGCCCAGTGTCTCATGCTGGCCATTCCTGTCACTTCTGATTGCCTAGCAGCTTCGATGTGCAGTGATCATAGAGGAAACTTGGGGCCCAGGGTGCTTCTGGTTTCCTGTGATGGCGACCTGAGGCTTCCTGCCTGTGCGCCGTCACCTTCATCCAGCTAGCAGTTGGGCCCAGCGTCCCTGCCTCTGTAGCCTCAGCTCCACTACTTGTTTCTTACAGCCTAGGGATTTGTCGAGGGCTCAGTTCAGCATCTTTGGCATTGTCCTCCATGTGTGGGTTGAGGGAGGGCAGCACTGGCCTCTGGGGCCCACATTTCGCTTTCTGGCTGGGGCCCAGGCTCCCGTCCACCCATTTGGCCTATCTTGTGTGCTTATCATGGCCTAGGTCTAGAGGAACAGCTCTTCCCTGACAGTATGGGGGAAGGGGTGGGTAGAATCCGCCTATTGCTTTCCCAGCAGCTCTGCTGGACAATCCTGGCTTCCCTCGCGGTACACTCATCTCCCACACAGGCAGCTAGAGCCTGGCGCATGCTGTGCTCTTAGCTTGTTGTGCCACAGCGCAGCTTTCCCAGCTCCCCAGGTCCGCGAAGTGCTGACCAGGTGGAGCCCCCGCAGGCTCACAGGCCTCCTTCGACCCCCCCACCCCCGCCCCCACTTGACACCTGCTCAGTGAGCCTGGTACCTCTGGCTCCACTCGAGGGCTCCCTGGCCTCCTGCCTCCCACGGGCCTTGCAGCCACCTGTCAGAGGCAACCATGCCTCTGCTCCCTCCAGGGACAGTCCGCGGGGCTCTGCAGTGTTCCTGAGGGCACTTCCGAGGGCGTGCCCGTGGCTTCTTCCGGTCCTTGTCCTCATCCTCATACTCGTCCCCAACCTCATCCCTGCCCTCGTCCCAGTCCTCGTCCTAGTCCTGGGAAAGTCCTCTGAGTGCCTTCTCTGCCCCCAGATCCAGGCCCTGGCCCTGTGGCCAACAGCAGCTCCCACGGCTCCTCCCCAGAGAAGGACATGGACAACGCCAAGGTGAGCCTAGAGCCCGTGCCTTGGCCCCTGCTGCTCCATGGGCCCTAGGTTTCCCCTCTGTTCTCTAGCTGGTCTGGGCGTGGCAACCCCGCAGACTAGGTCACCATCTGACTGGGGCCTTCACTAAGACTGGGGCCACGTGTTGAGTGCTGGAGCACAGCACACCTCACGCCCCTGCCTTGAGTGTTTGGTCAAGCTGGACTTGACCTCACAGTACCCAGAGCCCACCTGCAGTTCCCTAGCAGTCCTCCCACCTCAGCCTCCCGAGTGCGGGATGACCGGTGTGCATCGCCACACTCCCGTGCGCTTGATATTTGGGAGCAGCTGTTGGGGTCCTCAGGGTCTGTGCTAGGCAGACCCCTTGCAATGATGGAGATGAGGTGGGCGTGGGCTCTTGTGGGAGTGGGAAGCCGGTTCCAGGGCCGCCTGAACACGACCCCGGGCGGCCCAAGCTGCTGTGCCTCCTGGGTCCTGAGGCTGCTGCCTTGGCAGCCTTCGCACCGCATGGGGCCGCCTGCAATGGTCAGAGCTCCATGGACTGCCTTCCAAGCAGCCCAGGCCCAGGCGCCTCCGCCAGCCCCTCCCCGTGCAGTGTCAACTGGCCGAGGCAGCTTCCTGTTCTCCCCAGCTACCCCGGGACCCTGGGAGCCCTTGTGTAGCCCTGTCATGCCCAGGGCCACACTCATGCTGGCAAGAGTACAGCGAGCTGGCGCAGCGCCCCACTGGCACCGCTGGAGCTCCTCTCTGCACGCGAGTGGGGACAGTGTGGTGACCATGCTCGCTGCCTGGCATGCTGCTCACGAGGGCCTGGCAGGGTCCAGGGATCCCTTAACTCCTCTCGGGACGGGCACCCGTGTCACTGCCGAGCTTGAAACTGGGCCTGCTTCAGTTGGCAAGTGAGCATGGCCGTGAAGGGGCCCCCAGCCCATCCAGGGCCCCCGTTCCTGGGATGCCCCATGCCGCCCCACGTGGGCTATGGGTCGCCTCTGCCACCACTGCTCTGCAGGCCCTTCGGGCCTCGGCCGATGCCTCCTAGGCCACCGCCACCATTCGATACGGTAGGACACTTGGGCCAGTACCACCGCCTACCCTGTCCTCTCGCCTACCCTGTCCTCTCTCCTCACCAGTCCTGATTGGCAGCTGCAGCCCACCTGACTCGAAGCACAAGGCCCAGCACTCTGAGCCCAGTGCAGCCTCCACAGCTGCTTGGACCAGAAGGGCCCTTTCGGCAGAGCGAAAGCCAGTCTCAGCGGGGTGGTCACCTGGGACGCCACAGGCCGCTGGCAGTGGGAGAAGGGAGGGTCAGGCTGTGGTTGAGCCTTACTGAGCCTCAGTTTTCCTTATCTGTGATGTCCAGTGCATCACTCCACTTCCTGGCGCAGGGGAAGGGAAACGCTTTCAGCAGACCTGGGCTGCTCCTCAGGACGTGTCCGCATGTCCCTCTTGCTTTCCAGTCGCACGCATGGGCCCACCACTGGGCTTAAGAGACTATGCGCCCGGCATGCTGCCTGGACGCCACGACCTGCCGCTACATTCCCGCGAGTTCTTGCCAGGACCTGTGCCATTCAGGCCTCCAGGCCCGCTCGGCGCCCGAGCGTATTTCATTTCGGATCCGAGAATGCCACCACCACCCGCTGGACTCCAGGACTACCGACCACGACCTGCCGGGCCCCAGGACAACCCACCGCTGCCTGCCGGGCCCCAGGAATACCCACCACCGCCTGCCGGGCCCCAGTAGTACCCACCGCCGCCTGCCGAGCCCCAGAAGTACACACCGCCACCTGCCGGGCCCCAGGAATACCCACTGCCACCTGCCGGGCCCCATAACAACCCACCTATGCCTGCCGGGCCCAAGGACAACCCACTGACGCCTGCCAGGCCCCAGGACTACCCACCACCACCTGTCTGGCCCCAGGACTACCCACCGACGCCTGCCGGGCGCCAGGCCTACCCACCACCATGTGCCAGGTGCCACCACTACCCACCATCGCCTGCCAGGCCCCAGGACTACCAACCACCACGTGCCGGGTGCCAGGACTACCCACCGCCGCCTGCCGGGTGCCAGGCCTACCCACCACCACGTGCCGGGCGCCAGCACTATGCACCTGCGCCTGCCAGGCCCCAGGACTACCCACCACCGCCTGCCGAGCCCCAGGACTACCCACCATTGCCTGCCGGGCGCCAGGCCTACCCACCACCACCTGCCAGGCCCCAGGACTACCAACCACCACACGTCGGGCCCCAGGACTACCCACCGCCGCCTGCCAGGCGACAGGCCTACCCACCACCACGTGCTGGGCTCCAGGCCTACCCACCACCACTTGCCAGGCGCCAGCACTAACCACCACCGCCTGCCAGGCCCCAGGACTACCAACCACCACGTGCTGGGCTCCAGGACTACCCACTGCTGCCTGCAGGGCCCCAGGACAACCCACCACCAAGTGCCGGGCCTCAGGACCATGGATGGCTGCCCTCTGCGAGCCTGAACTTCGCATGCAGTGACATTCCCAGAGCCGACTTCGTTGAGCCTCTCCGGGGCCTCGAGTCCCAGGACTCCATGACAGCATGCTGCCTTGCCCCGGGCATGGTTCCCTGAGCTCTGGTAGAGAGCCCGGGCACTCCTGGCTCGCGTTTCCACTTAGCCCTGGGCCCTGTGCAGGCCCACCTCCATTGCAGTGCAGGAGCACGGTCCTGGGAGCAGTCGCCCACCCCGTCACTCCCAACCCTCTCTGGCTGTGGCATGGCAGAGGCCACAGTGTCGCCCTCTCCCTCTCTGCACAGTGTTCAATGAGTGGGCACACTTTCGTCACCACTCACCTCAGGGCCACCAGGGACAGCTCCTGAGCTAGGCAGGTCCGCATGTTACTGGTTCTGTGTGCTGCTCCCAAAGCACGTGGCCGCTGTGTGCGGGCTCAGTCTTCCAAGGCCCTGTTTTCCTCCTCCACAGCCTGAGACCTAAAGCAGCCTCTGCCTCTGGCTTGGGCTGCCACAGCGCAGCTTTCCCAGCTCCCCAGGTCCGCGAAGTGTTGACCAGGTGGAGCCCGCACAGGCTCAGAGGCCTACTTCGACCCCCCCCTACCCCCAACAACACCCCCACTTGACGCCTGCTCAGTGAGCCTGGTACCTCTGGCTCCACTCGAGGGCTCCCTGGCCTCCTGCCTCCCACGGGCCTTGCAGCTGCCTGTCAGAGGCAGCCATGCCTCTGATCCCTCCAGGGACAGTCTGAGGGGCGCTGCAGTGTTCCCGAGGGCACTTCTGAGGGCGTGCCCGTGGCCTCTTCTGGTCCTCCTCCTCATCCTCATCCTCGTCCCCATCCTCGTCCTCGTCCTGGGAAAGTCCTATGAGTGCCTTCTCTGTCCCCAGATCCTGGTCCTGGCCCCGTGGCCAACAGCAGCTCCCACAGCTCCTCCCCAGCCAAGCACATGGACAACGCCAAGGTGAGCCTGGAGCCCATGCCTGGGCCCGAGCTGCTCCATGTGCCTTCGGTTTCCACTCTTTTCTCCAGCTGGCCTGGGCGTGTCGACCCCGCGGACTAGGTCACCATCTGACTGGGCCTTCACTAAGGCTCGGGCCGCGTGCTGAGTGCTGGAGCACAGCACACCTCACGCCCCTGCCTTGAGTGTTTGGTCAAGCTGGACTTGACCTCACAGTACCCAGAGCCCACCTGCAGTTCCCTAGCAGTCCTCCCGCCTCAGCCTCCCGAGTGCGGGATGACCGGTGTGCATTGCCACACTCGCGTGCGCTTGATATTTGGGAGCAGCTGGTGGGGTCCTCAGGGTCTGTGCTAGGCAGACCCCTTGCAATGATGGAGATGAGGTGGGAGTGGGCTCTTGTGGGAGTGGGAAGCCGGTTCCAGGGCCCCCTGAATCCGACCCCGGGCGGCCCAAGCTGCTGTGCCTCCTGGGTCCTGAGGCTGCTGCCTTGGCAGCCTTCGCACCGCATGGGGCCGCCTGCAATGGTCAGAGCTCCATGGACTGCCTTCCAAGCAGCCCAGGCCCAGGCGCCTCCGCCAGCCCCTCCCCGTGCAGTGTCAACTGGCCGAGGCAGCTTCCTGTTCTCCCCAGCGACCCCGGGACCCTGGGAGCCCTTGTGTCACCCCTGTCGTGCCCAGGGCCACACTCATGCTGGCAAGAGCGCAGCGAGCTGGCACAGCACCCCACTGGCACCTCTGGAGCTCCTCTCTGCACGCGAGTGGGGACAGTGTGGTGACCATGCTCGCTGCCTGGCATGCTGCTCACGAGGGCCTGGCAGGGTCCAGGGATGCCTTAACTTCTCTCAGGACGGGCACCCGGTGTCACTGCCGAGCTTGAAACTGGGCCTGCTTCTGTTGGCAAGTGAGCATGGCCGTGAAGAGGCCCCCAGCCCATCCAGGGCCCCGGTTCCTGGGAGGCCCCATGCTGCCCCACGTGGGCTATGGGTCGCCTCCACCACCATTGCTGTGCAGGCCCTTCGGGCCTCGGCCGATGTCTCCTAGGCAACCGCCACCATTCGGTACAGTAGGACACTTGGGCCGGCACCACCGCCTACCCTGTCCTCTCTCCTCTCCTGTCCTGATTGGCAGCTGCAGCCCGCCTGACTCGAAGCACGAAGCCCAGCACTCTGAGCCCAGTGCAGCCTCCACAGCTGCTTGGACCAGAAGGGCCCTTTCGGCAGAGCGAAAGCCAGTCTCAGCGGGGTGGTCACCTGGGACGCCACAGGCCGCCGGCAGTGGGAGAAGGGAGGGTCAGGCTGTGGTTGAGCCTTACTGAGCCTCAGTTTTCCTTATCTGTGATGTCCAGTGCATCACTCGACTTCCTGGCACAGGGGAAGGGAAATGCTTTCAGCAGACCTGGGCTGCTCCTCAGGACGTGTACACATGTCCCTCTTGCTTTCCAGTCGCACGCATGGGCCCACCACTGGGCTTAAGGACTATGCGCCCGGCATGCTGCCTGGACGCCACGACCTGCCGCTACATCCGTGAGTACTTGCCGGGACCTGTGCCATTCAGGCCTCCAGGCCCGCTCGGCGCCTGAGCGTATTTCATTTCGGATCCACGAATGCCACCACCACCCGCTGGACTCCAAGACTACCTACCACTGCCTGCCAGGCCCCAGGAATACTCACCAATGCCTGCCGGGCCCCAGGACAACCCACCACCACCTGCCGGGCCCCAGGAATACCCACCGCCGCCTGCCAGGCCCCAAGACTACCCACCTCCACCTGTCAGGTGCCAGGCCTACCCACCACCACGTGCCAGACCTCAGGACTATGCACCGCCGCCTGCCAGGTCCCAGGAGTACCAACTGCCACGAGTTTGGCCCCAGGACAACCCACAACACCGTACTGGGTCCCTAGAATACCCACCACTATGTGCCAGGCCCCAGGACTACCCACTAACACGTGCCGGGCCCCAGGACTACCCACCACCACATTCCTGGCCCCAGGACTACCGACCACCAGGTGCCAGGCGCCAGGACTAACCATCACCACCAGCTGGGCCTCAGGAATGCCAACCACCATGTGCCGGGCTCCAGGACTACCTGCCTCATCCTACCAGGCTCCAACATTAACCACCGCCGCCTGCCGGGCCCCAGGACTACCCACCACTGCCTGCTGGGCCCCAAACTACCCACCGACACCTGCCGGGCCCCAGGACTGCCCACTGCCACCTGCTGGGCCCCAGGACGACCCACCACCACCTGCCAGGCCCAAGGGCTACCCACGACCATCTGCTGGGGCCCATGACAACCCACCGCCACCTGCTGGGGCCAAAGACTGGCCACCACCGCCTGCCAGGCCCTAGGACTAGCCACAGCCACCTGCCGGGCCCCAACTGTCCAAAACTGCCTGCCCGGCCCCAGGACTACCCACCACTGCATGCCGGGCCCCAGGAATACCCACTGCCATCTGCCGGGCTCCAGGACTACCCACTGCCTTCTGCCTGGCTCCAGGCCTACCCACTGCCCCATGCTGGACCCCAGAACTACCCGCTGCCAACTGCCAGGCCCCAGGACAACACACCGCCGCCTGCCAGTTCATAAGACAACCCACCGCCACCTGCAGGGGCCGAAGACTAACCACCACCCCCTGCCAGGCCCTAGGACTAGCCACAGCCACCTGCCAGGCTGCAGAACCGCCCACTGCCGCCTGCCGGGCACCAGGACTCCCCACCACCACCCGCCGGGCCCCAGGACTACACACCACCGCCTGCCGGGGCCCAGGACTAGCCACTGTCACCTGTGGGACCAAAGGACTACCAACTGTCGCCTGCCGGGGCCCAGGACTAGCCACTGTCACCTGCGGGACCAAAGGACTACCAACTGTCGCCTGCCAGGCCCCAAGACTAGCCACTGCCGCCTGCCACCGCCACCTGCAGGGCCCCAGGACTAGCCACAGGCACCTGCCAGGCCCCAGGATTGTCCACAACCGCCTGCCTGGCCCCAGGACTAGTGCTGGGGCCCAGCATGCAGCAGTGGGTAGTCCTGGAGCCTGGCAGATGGTGGTGGGTATTCCTGGGGCCCGGCTTGCGGTGGTGGGTAGTCCTGGGGCTGGGCAGGCAGTTTTGGACAGTTGGGCTCGGCAGGTGGCTGTGGCTAGTCCTAGGGCCTGGCAGGCGGTGGTGGCTAGTCTTCGGCCCCGGCAGGTGGCGGTGGGTTGTCTTGGGCCCGGCAGATGGTCATGGGTAGCCCTTGGGCCCGGCAGATGGTCATGGGTAGCCCTTGGGCCCGGCAGGTGCTGGTGGGTAGCCCTTGGGCCCGGCAGGTGCTGGTGTGTCGTCCCGGGGCCCAGCAGGTGGCAGTAGGCAGTCCTGGGGCCCGGCAGGTGGCGGTAGGCAGTCCTGGGGCCTGGCAGGTGTCGGTGGGTAGTTTGCGGCCCAGCAGGTGGTGGTGGGTAGTCCTGGGGCCCGGCAGGCGGCAGTGGTTAATGTTGGGGCCTGGTAGGAGGTGGCAGGTAGTCCTGGGGCCCGGCACATGGTGGTTGGCATTCCTGCGGCCCAGCTGGTGGTGATGGGTAGTCCTGGGGCCCGGCACGTGGTGGTCGGTAGTCCTGGGGCCCAGCACGTGTTGCTTGGTAGTCCTGGGGCCAGGCATGTGGTGGTGGGTAGTCCTGGGGCCTGGCACGTAGTGGTGGGTATTCTTGGGGCCCGGCACGGGGTTGTGGGTTGTCCTGGGGCCCAACTCGTGGCAGTTGGTACTCCTGGGACCTGGCAGGCGGCGGTGCATAGTCCTGAGGCCCGGCACATGGTGGTGGATAGGCCTGGGGCCCCGCAGGCGGTGGTAGGTAGTCTTGGAGTCCAGCGGGTGGTGGTGGCATTCGCGGATCCGAAATGAAATACGCTCGGGCGCCGAGCGGGCCTGGAGGCCTGAATGGCACAGGTCCCGGCAAGAACTCGCGGGGATGTAGAGGCAGGTCGGGGCGTCCGGGCAGCACGCCGGTCGCATAGTCTCTTAAGCCCAGTGGTGGGCCCATGCGTGCGACTGGAAAGCAAGAGGGACATGCGGACACGTCCTGAGGAGCAGCCCAGGTCTGCTGAAAG